ACCTGAATAAAAGTTTTGAAAAAAAAACATTAGACAACTTCCGAAATTCGACCCGTTTACAAGCGTATGGAAGAAAGAATCATCTCTGGAGGGACCTCAAGGGAACGAGGTTTTAAGCTTCCTTCACATACATCGGCAGTAAGTAGAGTGCGCTTTTTGAAGCCTCTTCTGCAGATTACATCAAAATCGCACTCTGAAGGGTTTTTGAAGAGCTTTGCAGCGCGGTAATATTTCAACTGCACACATTACAGTCACCAATTTCTTGCATAATCCTTTGAGAACAAAAGGTAGGACAAATCCACCTCTTTCACATATTCTCTTCACCGTTAAAATCAATGTAATACTCGATCCCTGCACACAGAACAAAAGAAGCGGGAGTCTACTGACAGAATGGCTCCGATATTCTGCGTACAGGCAGTGAGCACGATTGCTGGAGGCGGGTGGTTGTTGCCGTAGTCATTGGTGGAAGGACTGCGAGAGCTCTTCCTCAATCACGGTGGCGACAACGGTTTTCCCCGTTGTCGTGTTCACTGCCTTTATAGCCGTGATTACACATTATGCCCTCACTGAAGAACAGGAGGATCAGAAAACAGAAATCGATCCCCATATACCCTTCTCCCGATCCAGTCCTGCGATTTGCTGACTAGCTAATCGATCGATACCTACACTTTTCACACATTTTCGTGTTCTCTGGTTCTCCTGTTCCAGTAACTCAAAGTACGAACGTGGTCTAGAGATTTTCAGCGATGCAACGCGCAAGAACGAAACTATACATAGGAATCACAAGAAACGTACTAGTTCCAATGCGCGTTCTGGGGAACTTTCGCTAACAGGCTTGTTCATTGGGTGTGTCAGTGGGACAGGTTTGGTGTGCCGCCAGCTCATGCTCCAGCAGCTGTAGAAGGTAAAGCGACAAAAGCTGGTGGAGAACGACCGATACAACGGATATGGTACAGTTTTCTCGTTTGCTTCAATAGCTGGTGAAAAACGAGCTAGCGCCGCGGCAAACCCCTCCGTACTGACACGCCCCACCATCCGTAGCGAAAGACATTGTATGCTCCCTTGACAATATGGATTCCCAGTGCCTCTCCGATTTCTGCCTCCCTGCCTCCCGCCGCCTCCCATCCCTACCCTTTCTGACGTGAGTTCTCTGCGAATGAGTGTGGAGCATGAGTTCCCAGCCCCAGCACTCAATACTCAGTGAGTTGAACTGCGTGATAGAGTCGATGCGCAGCGCCGCTGCCATGTTGAGTGAGCAGAATCCTGAGGAAGATGCTACATCAGCCCGTTTGCAACACCTATTTCGTAGTGACTGGGAAGTAACGTTCCACACCCAACGAATATAGTACAGCTCAGCGTATAATAGACAGATGCGCGGGATCCATCGGTCTCTCTCAATAGCACGTCATTTGCTCGGTGAGGGCGGGGAAGGGGTTAGGAGAAATGTGGGAATAGGAAACAGACGTGCATACAACACATAAAAACACAATACATTAAACCATAAAAAACCAAAAAACCATGTTCCCATCATACGCTCCATTGTGAGACCCCCCTATATTTTGCCGTCGACAGGCGGAGTGGGCGTAGACGCCTCGGATCTTATCAGTAGTTTGGCGGCGCCATGAACTAAAAATGGAGACTTGTGCAGCGAGCGTGAAACTGGAAAATCAACGATCAAAAAATACAGATCAAAACACGATCTCCTATTTGCAGCGACTTACTACGACCCCGTTTCGTTACATACAGCGAGCTGTGAGCCCTGGATGCGGTGCGGCTTGAGGGAAACAAGGATACTGGCATCAATAACCGGGAGCAGTGAGTCACAAGGGAGAAGCTTCACTCTCAAGGGAGCTATATCATATGGTCCCTAACGTTGGGGAACCTTACAAAACATGAAAAAAGTTCACCTAGCTCGGTGGAGGTCATCAATTTCTACGAACTATGGACAAGAAGCGTGGCCCACTAACTAGTAGAATCTTTCACTGTAAAAGTTTTTGATGCTTAAGGGCTTGCACCAATATGCCCATCTTATTGAGAAATTGCGCCTTCGAGTCTTAAGCGGTTTCAAGCGCCAACATCACAATTAACAGTAAACTTAAACTGACATGATCTCTGAACTCGATTTGCTTTTGGAGGGATAGGCGATGAAGAAACTCTTTCACGGATCTTAGCGAGAAGAATTCCAACAGTGCATTAGCGAAGTTGTTCGTCTGCCGAAAGTGGCGCATTATGCTCATGGTCAACAACCGTTCATCTTGCTTCAGGTATCTTTTCCTGAAAAGCTGCTATTATGAATGCAAGATCAAAAAATATAAGTATCAAAATGACGAATTTTGCTCATATTAGGTGATTTCTCTAGAGTAATTTTGTAACTACAAAACAATGTGGTGCTATTGCAGAAGTCTACAGTATTCTGCCCTATCAAATTATTCAGGTCATCCCATTCAAAAGTGCCGTCGGTTTTATTCGAATAAAACAAAGAGGAGAATAGATAAAAAAGTAATATTTTGGCTTCAAGTTGAGTAAATCCCTCCTTCACCAATGACCCGCTCCCAGTGCCCCGAAAGCCTTTGGACCTCTGGTACCTTCGATTTTTCAACAAGTGCGAGTAAATTGCTGTTGATGCCAATTTCGGCGAATGACAAAACATTGTAGCGCTTGCCGTCGGAGAGTAAAACGTTGTGGCGCTTGCCGTCGGAGAGTACCTCGACTGACCAGAACAGTTGGAATCGAACGGCTTTATGTTGGGCGAATGGGGCGATTGAACCCAGGTCTCAGTATTGTTTGTGTCCCAGCACTGCCCTACAATACAGTTACTCGGGGTCTGGCACTATGACGAGCAACGGTGGCCTTCTTGTAGTTGTGTACCATCCATTTGTCGATCTGATTGCCGAGGATCAGGCAATATGCACCATCTACGATTTTAGGTTGTTCGAAAAGTCCTGCGACACTTTGATTGAATTGTTCTAGAAAAAGACCAAAAATCATTTTGGATGTTTTTATCCCTGATTAGTGGAGACTGTCCTCTGGGGTTTCTGCACATGGGTATATCATGACTTTGTGGAAGTTTTCAAAGCTTAAAAGTCCCTCAGAGATCGAGGTACTTTTCGACCTATCCCATATTATGAGTTCCTGTAGCCACAACTCCGCCGTAAGCGATCATCGTGGCGTGGGGGTGAACGGTTTTGGACTGTTCCAAAAACGTACCAATGCGGAGGGTGCCACGTCAGAGCCTGGCGAGCTACGCGTGGTTAATTTTCTTCTCGCCGAAAACAGTAACAACTATGGGCTTCATTCCCCTGAAGCTGAGGACCACCGACATGGGCTGCGTGGCTGGGACCGTAGGACGAGGCTGGAAAATACGGCAGGCAAGGAGATTTGAAGTCCCCAGGACTAGGATGACGATCTGTAATACGCGCACGGAAGCTTGCATCGGAAGCTCACATCGAAGATCTGATGTTGCAAGCCAGGAAGATCAAGTACGACGTCATCGGACTGACCGAGACGAGGAGGCATCGCCCGCTACACGCTGTACGAGATGAGAGAATGTTTCGCTCGAACATGCGACGCAGAGGCGTTGGCGGTGTGGGCGACTCGTAAACGCATTTGGCCATGAATTCGATTCGTAGAAAGTGACCGACCGAATCGGACGTTGCGATTGAGAGATGTGGTTCAACTCCAGCTTTGACAATCTTCGTCGCCTACGCACCAACATCAAGCTACGACGAGGATGAGCTCGAAGCGTTCTATATGGAATTGGAGAAGTTCTACAAGGAAGATAATTCTTCAAGGTCATCGTCGGTGATTTCAACGCTAAGATCGGACCAAGAAGAACGGCTGAAGAACTTCACATCGGAACTCACGGAACGGAGTGGAATGAGCAGGGTGAAAGCTGGTCTGAGTTATAATCATGTGACTCAAGATCTGGTATCGCAGTTCCAGAGCCCTACTCTCTACGCGGCTTGGGATTCCTGGTGGACATTCCATAAACGAGATTCGACACTCATTGCATCTGGGTTTTGCCTAATCGATGTCGCTGTTGTCCCTAAGTTCTACACGGGATCCGACCATCGCCTCCTTCGCGCAAGATTCGCATTTCGATGCGAGGAGAGAGAGCGAAGTATAAGAGCAAGCAAGACTTCATAACTGGGATATTCACTTGTCTCGGCCTGGCTCGTGGAGGATTCTTGTATCGCACATCGACGAGGAATAACGACGGCTTGCCTCACATCTCACGACTGGGCGTCAAGAAGTCAGAGGGTTAAATGACCAGAGCTCTATCTCTGGAACTCTCGAGCTGAATTCGCCAACGTGGAGCCGTGAACGACGTCGAGGCAATTACCGAGCTGAAGTGAGGTTGAGAGGCTATGCAGAGGAGCGATAAAGAAGACTCAAGAAGAGAGCAGCGTATTGGTGGAAGGCGCAGCGGACTTGGGAAGAGATACGCAATCGCCGGCGGGCGACCTTGCTCAAGTAAACCAGGATGACGGCCTCGACGTCCAGATGGAACAATCAACGCATCCAGAAGGGGCATTGGAGAGGTCATCCACCCCCGATTTCTATCGATCTCTTGCCAGCAGTCCAACTGCACATACGCTTGAGCAGATGGATTAATGTGTTCCTGCAGTTTCCCTTCCGAAGTCACCGTGTCTC